CCTCCTGCCATAACTGCTGCTCCAACCAGCTAGAGCACCAGCCCAGCTGCCAGCCGGCATGCATGCCCCAATCGGGCTCCCAGCCTGTCCCGGCCCCAGTTGGGTTGCTGAAGCCCCAGCTTCACTGCCACAGCCATGTGATGAAGAGTCCTTTTAGTCTCATTACACAATCATTTAACACTGGCAGTTTGATATGTAATTTACAAATACAGATAAAGTGTAGGCCAGTGGTCCCCAACGCAGTGCCCGCTGGGGCATTTATGTGCGCCCGCCTAGTGACGAGGGCCGGCCCAAGCCATTCTTGCACCCCGGGCCCTGAGTGCCTGGTGCATGCGCGGCCCCCGCCCCTGCCCGCCCGGCTGCCCCAAAAGGTTGGGGACCACTGCTGTAGGCCTATATGCAAATGTTCCATTAAGTAATTGGAATAATGTACAATTGAATTGACCCGTGAGGGGCTTTCATTCACTTTGAAAATCAGACCCTGATATTTCTGAAATGTATGCTCCTTAACTACTTTGAGTCAAGAATTAAAGATTTTTAGATCAAAGAAGAATTTGTAGCTCATCCTGAAAAACAAAAACTGCAAGAAAAATTATTAATAGATACTTTAGTGCCTAGAAGATCCATTCATGTTCCAGAACCCTGTTGTGTCAGGTGCACAAAAGATAGAACTGGCAGTCCCAGAATGCCATTCTCTGCCCAATGTCCTATTTTTAGCTTAGAGAGCCAAGTCCTGCAAACATATTACTTTAGAGAAACAAATGTTTGTCATGCAGGATTATTGTTTCTTAAATTAAAAAGATGACTGTCCTTTAGAATATCTTAATACCAGTATTGCACTGATTTATACTTGAGCATTAACATTACATTGCACTCAGTCCATGTAATTGCATAGTATGATAATCATTCTGGCTACATCTACAATGCGGCACTATTTCAGAACACCGGAAGTATCCGAAAATAGCTATTCCACATCTTTTTATCATGCCCAATGTTTCAAAATATAAGAGGTTCACTATTTCAACGTCCCTGTAAAGCTTGTTGCATGAGTGTTAAGGGACATCTCAGGATAGCACTTTATTTAAAAATTTGACACTGTAGTCAGCACCAAATTTTGAAATAAGCTATTTTGAAATTACCTTGAAATAAGCTACACAATTTGTGTAGTGCAAATTGCGTAGCTTATTTCAAGGTAAGGGTGCATTATACCCTCAGAGAACAGGAAGAACAGCTGAAACCAGGGAAACCTGTTTGCTAGAATTAGAAGACCTATTCCTCTGATTTAAGGCTCTGTGCCTTAAATCAGAGGCAGTTTCTTGAGTCAATTTCTGCCCTCAGATGGCTCCCACTGACTTGAGTAGGACTGTACATACAAGTTCAAAAGCAGAGTTTGCTTGTACAGGCAGTCCCCGGGTTACGTACAAGATAGGGACTGTAGGTTTGTTCTTAAGTTGAATCTGTATGTAAGTCGGAACTGGAGTCAGCTGCTGCTGAAACTGATCAGTTTCAACTGCGGCTGAATCTGGATGCCAGTTCTGACTTACATACAAATTCAACTTAAGAAACCCAGGCGTCCCCAAGTCAGCTGCTGCTGAAACTGATCAGCGGCTGATTCCAGGAAGCCTGGGGCAGAGCAACTCTGCCTGGGGCTTCCTGTAGTCAGCGCTGGTCAGTCTGGAGTCAGCTGCTGCTGAAACTGATCAGTTTCAACTGCGGCTGAATCTGGATGCCAGTTCTGACTTACATACAAATTCAACTTAAGAAACCCAGGCGTCCCCAAGTCAGCTGCTGCTGAAACTGATCAGCGGCTGATTCCAGGAAGCCTGGGGCAGAGCAACTCTGCCTGGGGCTTCCTGTAGTCAGCGCTGGTCAGTTTCAGCAGCGGCTGACTT